GCGCAACGCCGGAGAGATACCAAGCAAGGTGTTGTTCAAAGCGAGGCATGCGAAAGAGAGTGAAACAGTCAGACCTCGACGCAAGAAGACTCCGCCGAAGCCAGCCAAGGAGCCGAACCCCCCTTGTACCGAGTGCCGTGCACGGACGTCCAGATACACGAGCACGCGTCATCAGCAGAAACTCTTGACGATCGCCTGCTGCAAGAGGGGAGGGTTTCGACAAAGGAAGCCCGAGTCGACGTCCGCTTTAAACACCGGTCGTCGCCAGTGGTATCGGAAGATCGTCTCGCTTTCTTGACCTTCCGTCTCGAGCGTGTCTTCGCGAAAGCCCTCAAGAATCCTGACCGGACCTCGACGGGCGCGGGGAAGGCACCTTCCACGCGTCCGTAAAGCGGCGAGGCTACGTGGCCGCAGGTAGTAACAGAGGCGCGTGGCAACAATGCTTACCTGACAAGCGGCTCGGCGTCGGCTTCGAGCGCTTGCACCTTGCTGATCACAAAGGTGAGGAGCGATGGTCCGCTGCGAGCAAGCCTTGGCTGGATTTGGGGCCAACTCTCAAGCCGACGAGGACCTCACACCTTCCGCCCAGTCCTCTGAGTATGACAGTGGAGCGATGGGCTAAAGCGTCCACTGGATCCGGCCGGACTCCGTCGGGCAGGAGTCGAGGCACTGCTCCGGCCTGGCGTCGTCCCAACGCCAAGGTACCGGGACCAGCGCTCGTTCTCAGGAGGATCCCCGGCTTCCAGCTGGGTGAGGAACAAGCATGGAACCTGAAGAAGCCAAAAGAATCGGATCCAAGCAGGTGAAGTGTTCAGGGGCGCTTCGAATCCGTGCTCAAGCCTCTTAAGCCCTGAGCGTCAGCGAGCGGGAAACTGCCTGAGACACCGGAACACTGACAGAAGCTAACGCAGGAAACCCTAAAGCACAGCCCAGAATCAGAAGCATGGCCCAAGTCCTCGACCTCATAACTGACCCGCCGCCGAAAGCACCGGCTCGAGCAAACAAAGCTAGCGGTCGACCCGGACATACCTGCTGCAAACCAGGACAATGTCGGCACGGACCCCAGCGCTTCTTGGACTTTCCGGTGCAACCGAGTTCCAAGTTCGTGCCTGCATCTCGTAAGGCCTTCCTGAAGCGAACGCAGAGGTCGAGGAGGTGAGGAACATCATCGAACCCTCATGCATGGCCTTGCCCTCTTATGATAGCTGCCGCAACAAGCTCGGCAGGACCAGGAAGTACCGGATGCTGAAGCAGGATTACATCAGGACGAATCCGACTCTCGAGCCCTTCGAGATCGTAGTCCTGGTCTGCGCCCTAACTATCCAGAACGCATGACAAGTGAAGCTCCAGAAAAGACTGCCGTCAATCCACAGCCGAGGTGTTCCTGCTCACCAACGACGCTTGGATGGTAAGGCACTGCAGACGTGACTACAGGCTAGCTTCCGCTCGTAACTTGCCCGAGCAACATCAGCAACACGAGCAACCGCGTGCCAGGAAGTGGGAGCGAGTCGACATCAGATGCGGCAAAGCGCGACCCGACTGATTTCAGTAAGTATGAGCCAGCAAAAGCCTAGCCAGCAAAAGATCCCAAATCAAGACGCCCCATGCAACCAAGGAGCCCTACGAACGAATGAGATGCGAAGACTTCCTGGCACAACCGAAGGCGCTTCGCTGAAAATGTCTGAAGCACCGCGGACCTGAAAGTACCGAGCGCAGTAGAGGGAACCCCGGCAAACTGGATGAGGAACAAGCATGGAACCTGAAGAAGAGCCCAAAGGCTCGAATCCAAACAGGTGAAGTGTTCAGGGGCGCTTCGAATCCGTGCTCAAGCCTCTTAAGCCCTGAGCGTCAGTGAGCGGGAAACTGCATGAGACACCGGAAGACCGACAAGAGCTAGCTACCGCAGGAAACCCTAAAGCACAGCCCGGAATCAGAAGCACAACCCAAATCCTCGACCTCAACCGAAAGCACCGGCTCGAACCCACAAAGCTGAGTGGAGTTAGCCTGCAAGATGCTCCCGCGAGGAAAACTAGGCAAGCGTGCTCTCGCGTGAGTCCCAATGCAGCAGGCATCCCGGAGCTTCGAATGACCTGCCAGGAGCACTCGCGCGTCGCCTCAGAAAGTTCCGGTTCATAGTCGCAGCGGCAAGGAGGAGGCTGGACAAGAGAGCCAAGCCTGAAACACTCCTCGCTCCACTGTTCCGGACCTCTGCAGGAAATACCTCCGAGTTCTAGAGCTCCGGGCTCGGCGAACTCTTAGGCACTGTTTATAGGACCCGTCCGTGCAAGACGTGCTCATGCAATCGTGCAGTGCTCGTGCTCAGGCGAGGCTTCGCCACCGGACAGAACGTGTACTACGAGCCCGGCCCTCAGCAACCCTCCGACTGAACCAGTCAAGCAACGAACTCCCTCGCAGGCCAGGGATGAGCGAAGGCGAAGACGGCACCATCATCGAATTCGACGGACGACGATGGGTGCCGCTGGCCCAGGGTCATTTCCGACAGAACGTGTAACAAATGCAACCAAACAAGCTGCATGACGAAGCCCAGGCCCTGCCTGGATCTCAACGGCAACAGAGTCAAATGATCTCCAGGCAGGGGGCTTCCAGCTGACACAACAAGTGAACGTAAACATAAGACAGAGAACCACTGCAGTTTACATGCCACAATGCATATGATGCATTGCTGCACCCCTGCCAGCGCAGGTCCGAAACCCCACGGAAACCGTGAGAGCAGGTGAAGCACCGCAGGAGATGCTCAGAGAAGCAAAAGCAAAGAGGGTGTTGCGTTGTGACAGGCCACGATTCAACACTGATGCACACCTGCCATGTTGCTATCCCACGATACAATACTCACTACTTTAGAAGCTCATTGGCTCCGCCAAACAGCGCCACGGCCCCGAATTTTCACAATGAACCAACGCGCACCTTCGTTGTTGCTGCTCGACCTGGGTGGGGAACAACCGCAAGGGCCTCAAACGACAAATAAACAGAGACCAACAGGCGGAGCAGTCAGAGCTGCTCCCAACGCTTGCGGTCAAGCCCCTTAAGCTCTGAGCGTCAGGTCTCCGCTGCAAGCAACCAGCTCTCGACAAGTACAAGCAGAAATAGAGTCCAGCCGACAGCGGAGGCAAGCAGAGAAGTCGAATCCTGACGATTGTGTTGCACGCTTGCGGTGCGTAGGCGATTGCACTATGCATCCTTGGAGAGCCTCAAGACAAAAAAGGCCCTGAGCGCCTGTCAGCCAGTGAACACCCAATATATTTACAGACGTTCGCAGACAAACCTCCGCGTGACCCAGTTAGCCTGCAAGGAAAGCCCAAAACAAGTACGACTCCTACAACTAGCTGATTGCTCAGCCCATCTGCAGTTTTTGGCTCTAAAAATAAAAGCCTCACAACCCAGAGCCAGATTCAGCCCGAGCTGAGGGCGCCACCAAGCAATGGGACGCCGCGCACGCAAGCAAACTCAACGCGGTGCCCAGGCAAAGCCACATGATCAGAAACGCGTCGACAGCAAACTCTAAGCACCTGACGGACCCCCGACAACAGGTTCCGCGGTCGCTGAGCCTACCTGACTCCGCTCCGGCCCCGGACAGCGTATAGAGTGCACAGAACTACGCGTCCAGATTGCCCATGCTTGAGGCGCGTGTGGCCGAGTACTTCAGCTTCGTGCCGCCGGATGTCCCACAGGAAGAGGCCAGCCAAGTCAGAAGTCTTCCTAAACAAGTACCTACCATCTCCAAGATACCCACCTCCCAGAATAGCTCTAAAAGGCCCCGAACCGATGGACCGCTTCGCTCAGGTCGTGACCGTACCAACGGTGATCGAGGGGAACACGGTCATCCTCTTCGAGTTCATGGTCTCCTTATGGGATGCGATGACTGAGGAGCAGCCGCGGCCTGAGAACAGCAAGCAAAAGCACATGAACGCATGACACCATGCGTGCCAACCAAGAAGCAGTACTAACGAACCCCACGCACGAACCACTCGCCGCATGCGCCTCGCCCAGGCAATGGTGTTGCATCCGCAAGCTCGTCGAGCGCCACCAACGCGGAGAAGCCCGCGCCTCAGCAACCGAGATGCCACAATTTAGGATCTGCCGCCAAGCTCAGCACAACCAATCGTGCAGGAGATGTTCCTCCAGTTCTGCGAGCGGTGCACGCCGGCCAAAGTGCCCGATCAGATGCAACCGTACATAGAAGACGTCCCGAACGAAAAGAGTCAGGACTAGATTACAGTAGCGTGAGTACGTGCGCGAAACACAAGAGCAGGCAGCCGGAAAAGAATGATCAACACCCCGACGCAATGCAGCAAGGAAACTAAAAATAAGCACACCTGCCATGTTCGTATCCCACGAGAACAATATACTCGTTACTTTGGAAACTCATTGGCTCCGCCAAAAAGCGCCACGGCCCAAGTTTTCACAATCAACGAGCACTTTCGTTCTTGCTGCTCGACCTGGGTGGGGAACAACCGCAAGGGCCTCAGACGATAATTAAACACAAACAAACAGGCGGAGCAGTCAGAGCTGCTCCCAACGATTGCGGTCAAGCCCCTTAAGCTCTGAGCGTTAGGTCTCCGCTGCAAGCTGCCAGCTATCTACAAGTACAGACATAGAAACGGAATCCAACCGACGGCAGAGGCAGGCAGAATAGCGTGGCGCTTGCACCAGGTAAACTCGAACCTTCTACCCCAAAGCCCTCAGAGAGGAGTCGATCTCGCAGCTGTTGTGGATTCAAGAGATGCAGTGAAACTAGACAATCAGAGAGTCACTCATGACTCGTGCAAAGCAACATTCAAGTTCGCGTGACTGACTGACAACAAAGCATGGCATATAAAGAGTCAGATTCAGCAGCAACCAAAACCTCACTCATCCGATAGAGTTCGCTCCGCGAAGCTCACTCCACGCAAGATGTCCTTCGCGAAGCTCTCAGACTACCTTTGCAGGCAGCAGCAATATTAGCAGTGCGATTCATAAACACGCAAAGATGCAGCCCTGAGGACACACTCAACCACGAGCTGGAGAACGAGTACGACAAGCTGTACCCGCAGGCCCGGTGCGACACTCTGCCACCCGAAAGTCTCCGCAAAGACCGCTAAGGAAAGGAAGCTCACAAGCTTCATTCAGTGGGGCGAGCGCCGGTACATCTTCACCTACGCGGCGCACGACTACGAGAGCTTTCGCTCGATCGTGGCCCGCGTCGTGAAGATGCGCCAGGCCCTCAGCCAACGGCAACCGCAGCCTGCCTCTCCTTCCGTGTTAGTCCCGACAGCAAGCCCACAAGAATTGACTCTAGAACATAACTGCGCTGTTCCGCTCAGGCGGCGGCTACGAGCTGAGACGGCATGAGGCTCAAACATCGACAGAACGTCGAAGAATCCCTGCAGCGAATGTGAGTCGCCGCAGAACCTTTTCAAGCCGAGGTCGGACAACGGCCGCTGGATCGATCCCCTGGACGATCCCGTCTTAGCCGGTCTGACCTTGCAGGTAGGCGTGAAGCTCGCCACGGCCTCAACACCAGTCAAAGCTGAGCGTAGCCGAACCTTAGCTCAACCACAGACTCCCCAAAAGCAGAAGCCTCCGTCCGCTCAGGTCCAACTCGCACGCTGGGTGAGATGAGCGCGCCGACCGCAGCAGTGCGTGCGCGGCGGCGAAAAGAGAAGAAGCCAGCAAGAAGCGCACAAGCAAGCCGAATGAAAGCACCTGCAGCAGCTCATGAACAGCACAACGAACAGGCAGACCTCCAAAAGTTCCACGCAGCAGAAGCTACACACATACATAATAATACGTCTCTTTCCCATAGATCTGGGTGGGGAACAGCCGCAAAGCCCCCATGCGAAAGCAGGCGGGCGAAGCAGTCAGAGCTGCTTCCCACGTTTGCGGTCAAGCCCCTTAAGCTCTGAGCGTCAGATCTCCAACAAGAGACTGCACAGCCTTCAAAGCGCCAATGCCAGTAGCCCGGCCTCGAAACCAAGCTCTTCTCGACCCATCGAGGAGCCCAGCCTTGAAGACCCAGAACTTCTCGACCCCTCGAGGGGCCCAGCCTTGAGACCAAGATCTTTTTGACCCCTTGAGAGACCCAGCCTTAAGACCAAGAACTTCTTGACCCCTCGAGGGACCCAGCCTTGAAAGCAAGATCTTTTTGACCCCTCCAGGGGCCCGGCCCTACGACCAAGAACTTGTTGACCCCTCGAGAGGCCCAGCCTGCAAACCGAAAGAGACAGGAAAGAGAGAGGAAACAAAAAGTAAAGAGAAAGCAAAGAAAAATGAAACGCACAGGAAACACAAAGGAAACGGAAAGCAAAGATAAAGGAAAGAGAGAAAAACCAGAAAGGAAACAGAAAGGAAAGAGAGAAGAACCAGAAAGGAGCGAGAAACAAAAGAACGAGAAAAAAACATAGAAGAAAAAGAAAGGCAAGAGAGAGAAAATAAAAAGGAAAGAGGAAAGAAACAGAAAAGAAAGAGAAAGGAAAGAGAAAGCAAAGAGAACGAAAAGAGAAAGGAAAAGAAAAGAAAGATACAGAAAACAGAAAGCAAAGAGAAGGGAAAGAGAGAAACACAAGAAAGGAAAGAGAAAGAAAAGACAAAGAAGAAAGAAAAGAAAGAGAACGGAAATAAGAACGAAAGACAAAACAAAGACAACAGAAAAAAGCAAGAGACAGCAAAGAGAAAGGAAACAGAAAGCAAAGAGAAAGGTAAGAGAAATGAAGGAGAAACGACACGTACATGATACGTCTCTTTCCCAAAGATCTGGGTGGGGAACAGCCGCAAAGCCCCCATGCGAAAGCAGGCGGGCGAAGCAGTCAGAGCTGCTTCCCACGTTTGCGGTCAAGCCCCTTAAGCTCTGAGCGTCAGATCTCCAACAAGAGACTGCACAGCCTTCAAAGCGCCAAAGCAAGTAGCCCGGCCTTGAAACCAAGATCTTCTTGACCCATCGAGGAGCCCAGCCTTGAAGACCCAGAACTTCTTGACCCCTCGAAGGGCCCAGCCTAGCAACCGAGATCTTCTTGACCTTGACCCCTCGAAAGACCCAGCCTTAAGACCAAGCTTCTTGACCCCTCGAGGGGCCCAGCCTTGAAACCGAAAGACAAAGAAACCGAGAGGAAAGAGAAAGGAAAGAGAGAGGAAAGAGAAAGGGAAGCGAAGGGAAAGTGAAAGGAAAGAGACAGGAAAGAGTAAGGAAAGAGAGAAAAACCAGAAAGGAACGAAAAAGCAAAGAGAACGAGAAAAGTAAAAAAAAATAGGAGAAAAAGAAAGGCAAGAGAGAGGAAATAAAAGGAAAGAGAAAAGACTCAGAAAGGAAAGAGAAAGGAAAGAGAACGACAAGAGAAAGGAAAAAGAAAGGAAAGATACAGAAAACAGAAAGCAAAGAGAAGGGAAAGAGAGAAAAACAAGAAAGGAAAGAGAAAGAAAAGACAAAGAAAAAAAGAAAAGAAAGAGAAAGGAAATAAAAAACGAAAGACAAAGCAAAGACAAC